ACTGGGGCTCTTCCCGGGGTAACTGGGGCTCTCCTGGGGTAACTGGGGGGAACTGGGGCTCTTCCCGAGGTAACTGGGGGGAACTGGGGCTCTCCTGGGGTAACTGGGCTGACAGGGAAGAGGCTGGGGGGAACTGGGGCTGTTCCCGGGGGGGGCTGGAGAGAGAGTGAGGAGAGATCGAGGGGAACTGGGGAAGGACTGGGGGGAACTGGGGAGTAGCTGCTAGGAACTGGGGGGAACTGGGGCTATTGTCGGGGGAACTGGGGAAGGACGGGGGGGAACTGGGGCTGTTCCCGGGGTAACTGGGCTGACAGGGGGCACTGGGGGGAACTGGTTTGACTGGGGTGGGGTGGCGCAGTGAGAGGGGCAAGTGGGAGAGACTGGAGGGCACTGGGCAGGCACTGGGGTGTGCTCGGTGCGACACCGGGGGGGGGGGAGGCCCCGGGGCGGCTCCCCCCGCCCGTCCCCGCCCCGTCGGGCCCCCCCGCCCTTCCCCGCGGCCTCGGGCCCCGCGGGCTCTGAAATGGCGGCCGGAGGCGGCGGCGCCGTGGAAATGGACCCACCAACACCCCCGGCCCCCGGGACGGACCCCAGGGCGAGACCCCCAGGACGGGCCCCCCCACGGCCCCCCGCGCTGGACCAGACTCTCCCCTCCCGACCCCTCCTGTCCCCTCCACCTCATCCTGTCTCATCCCATCCAGTCTTGTTCTCTCCAACCCCACCCCATCCCTCTCCATCCTGTCATGCCCTGTCCAGTCTTATGCCACTTTTATCTGTCCCACCACGTCCTGTCCCGTCAATCCCCCCTGTCCCATCCCATCCCATCCATCCTGTCTCATCACACCCTGTCCCATCCCATCCCATCCCATCCCATCCCATCCCATCCCATCCCATCCCATCCCATCCCACTCCATCCACCCTGTCCCCATCCCATCCATCCTGTTGAGTCTTGCCTAGTCTTGTCATGTCCCATCCAGTCCCACTCTACCCATCCCACATCTTGTCCCATCCCATTCCAGCCCTCCTGTCCCATCCTATCCCATCTGTCTCATGCAGTTTCATCCTGTCCCATCTCATCCCAGCCCATTCATCCTGTCCCCCTGTACCCTATTCTATCCCACCCACCCTATCCCATCCCATTTCATCCCATCCATCCTGTCCCACCTCATTCCATCCCCGGGCCATCCCATCTGCCCTGTCCCATCCCTTCCTGTTCTGGCACAGCCCCTGTCACACGGCCCCACTGCCAGTCCGGACTTTGGGGACCCGGGGTGACAATGGGGGGAAGTTGGGAACAACAAACACGGGGAAGGGCAGGAAACCCTTTGGTTTGTGGGAAAAGGGAGGGGATGAGGGGCGACAGGATGAGGCACCTGCCTTGGAGGGGTACAGGGGTGTGACAGCAGGTGGGGACCCCCAATTAGAGACCCCCCTGTCCTGGGCTGTCCCAGGGATCTGCAACCCCCATCCAGGAGTGATCCATTGGGAGGGAATGCCAGGACCAGCTCTGGGATGGAGGGTGTCACTGCCTGGAGTCTGTACATCCCAGTGCAAGTGGGGAGTCTGGGATCCAGGGCAGCTGCTGGGTGGAGGGAGTGCCTGATCCTGGCTCTGGGAGGCTCCAAGCTGTCCCTGTGGAGATCCAGGCGTTTTTATCAGGTGTGTTCATTCCCATGAGCGGATCTTCGTCGTGATCAGCCAGAGTGGGATCGGGATGCAGCCGTGTCCGTGGAGTGCCATGTCCTGTCCCCCGGGCTCAGGCCCTGTGTGTAGCTGTGTTTATACACACACAGCACACGTGTGCAATGTAGAGGGACATCCGTGTGTCCTCATGGAGTCTCCGTGTGCTCGGAGCCGTGCTCGGCCCACCACCAGCCCAGATCCCACGAGATGCTCTTCCCCGAGCTCTCCCCTTTTCCCTCCTCCCCTTCCTCCTCACCACTGCGTGTGGGGCAGCCCCACCCCATCCCATCCGGGGGCTCTGGAGTGTGGGGGATCCTCACTCTGGGGTCACTCACTCTGGCTCTGCAGGTACCTGGCATGGATTGGGATGGGAGGGGATCCAGCCTGGCCAAACCCAAAGCCAGGGATGTGTGGGCCACAAGTGCCCCATCCCCACCGTGGCTCCAACCCACGGGCTGCCCTGTCCACATCCCACATGTGGTCCCAAGCCAGAACAACCCCTCGGGCATTGCTGGAGCTCTGGGGAGGCTCTGGTGGAGCCAGGGAGATCTGGGAGAGGGGAACATCCCCCTGTGCTGGGCTCTGGCAGGAAGAGACACTGGGCTGTGGGGGAGCTCCTGGGAAGGGCAAAGGACCCTGTGTGTGGCACCAGCCGGGGCACCCTTTAAGGTCCCTTCAAACCCAAACCATTCTGGGATTCCACAATCCCAGCTCCAAAGCAGCCACAGCCACCGGTGCTTCTCCCGGCACGGGATATCCCGGCTCTATCCCACTGCAGAGGGATGAGGGAAGTGACCCCTCATCCATCCATAGCCCTATCTGTGCGTGACACAGGCTGGCTCACAGATCATAACCCCAAAATCTGCTTCCAGCAGAGGAAAAGGTAAAAACACAAATCCCAAATGCCGGACGCAGCACCCGGAGCAGCCTCGTTTGCCAGGCTTGGCTCCACGGATGCTCAGCTTGGCTTGTGCCGTTCACCTGTCCCACAAATTACCTGGAAAAGCTCCCAAACAACAGCCAGGAGCAGGGCGAGGGAGCTGCAGGAATCGGCAAGGGGCTGCCATGGCTCATCCCACACGGAATTCAGAGTGGAAACACTGTATTGACAGACTTTACAAAAGTTGTTACAAAACACGGTCACAAACCAGCAGCTGACGATACACAGCGAAGAGACACCACGTACAGGCACCTCGGAACAACACCAACAGCTCCAGAAGTCAACCAATATTTACACAAACGGCTGGAAAACTCTGGGCGTTTATCGCATAACATGGAAGTGTTTTAGAGCAACTGTGAAATATAGTGTCACACCTTTCCTTGTAGTATTATCATCGTCATAATAATTAATAATAATAATAATAGTTCATAATAATAATAATAATATACTACTTCTAGGTTAACTAAAAACCAAACAGCTCTTTACAGGGGTTAGGAGAAGCTGCTTTCACTCGTCTGACTTACCTGAGTGAGACCAAACCCAGTTAAAAAACAGTAATAAAATCACCTTCACTGACAGGAGTCCGTGTGTCGGCCCAGCAGCGCCATCCCCTCGGGCCAGAGGGAAACCACAGCCTGGCTGGTGCCAGAGACACCCTTCCAAAGAAGGGAGGCGTGATCCCACCACGCCTCCAAACGCTGCCCTTCCCGACTCCTCCTGCTCCAATGTCCTCAGCCCCTTCTCCTGCACCTGCTTTCTCTCACCTTGCTCTTTGCCGTGCTCTCCTCTCCGCTCTCCCGCCTTCCACAAACCCCGTGTCGTGCCCTAACCCACCTCTCTGCCTCGCCTCTCCTCCCTTCATCCCAATCCCGGCCTCGCAGCCTCTTGGGACACGGCGGCACAACGGGAGCGGGCGACCAGCTGCCTGGGAATGGCACCTTCCTTCCCTCCTCCCTCCTCGCGCTTCCAGCCTTGCAGTGAAACGAGTGGAAAAAAGAAAGCGAAAGCTTGTCACTCCTGAATATGCACAAAGATAGGTGGGGGAACACCTGCTAAATACGGGCCCCGGAGAATCGCTCGGGATTATTCTCTACAGGCAAAATCCAACCCTGCGCAGGGGCCGCCGCCGCGGCGGGACAGCCACGGGACCCCGCGGGGCCGCAGAGGTGCCTGGGCCGGCCGGTCAGAGTTTGTAAGAGGAATTCCTTGGATGCTTCACCAAAGCTTTTGTAGCATGACCACATGGATTAGCTGCGATACAAGTCACCCGCCATCATGCTGCGCCGTCACGGTCACCGCGAGCCCTCCTGCCCCGGCCCCACCTCGGCTACTGCGTAGTCTCTTTTTTCACGCAGAAATGCTTGGTTTGGGTCCCCGCCGACTCCAGGCCCAGCTGCGAATCCTCCGTGGGCCGCGGGTTGCGGGAGTGGATTTTCTGGTGGCAATTCAGGGACTCTTTGTAGCGGAAGTGCTTCCCGCAGACGGGGCACTGGTAGGGGGTCTCCCCGGTGTGCACCCGCCAGTGCTTGAGCAGGTGATCCCGGCGGATGAAGCTCTTCCCGCACTCCGTGCACTGGTAGGGCCTCTCACCGGTGTGGATGCGCTGGTGGCGGATGGCTTTGGAGAGGTCTCGGAAGTCCTTCCCGCAGTAGGTGCACGTCAGCGGCCCGTCGCCCTTCCCTGTGTGCAGCTTCTGGTGCAGGATAAGACTCACTTCCAGGCTGAAGCTCTCCTTGCACTGGGAGCAGGTGTAAGGCCTCTCCACCATGTTGTTCACCTGGTGCCTGACGAGGCCGTACTTGAAGCCGGAGCCCTTGTCGCCGTCGGGGCGCTTGGACGGTTTGGAGCGGGAGGAGCCCTGGCCCTTGGGCTTGGATTTCTGCCAGGGGCCCTCGCCGCGCTCCAGGGACGTGCAGGCCTCCTCCCTGGCGTGCGCCTTCTGGTGGGTGGCAAAGAGCTGCTTGTCCAGGAAGCTCTCCCCGCACTCGCAGCAGATGTAGGGCCCCTTTTCCGCGGCTCCTTCCTCGGGAGGATCCTTCTTGGCCAAGTCCCTCCTGCGGCGCACGGAGCGTCTCAGCCCGTTGCCCGCTGCCGTTCGCTGCTGCGGGTCCGACCCGCTCTGGCTCTTGCTGCTCGACTGCATCTCCTCCTCGGGGCCGGAAAAAACATCTTCCCACTTCCCCGCCAACGACCTGGGAAGCTCCAGGCTCTCGGGGCCTTCCTCGTCGCAGGGCTGTTCGTCTGGCAGAGCAGAGCACTCGTCATTTGCGGAGACAAGAACCGGGTCGTTATTTACACCACAATTCCCCCGGGGCACGGGTGGGCTCTGCTGTGCACACCCAGCTCAGTGCCTGGCACTGCTGTCCCGGGACACAGGCAAGGCCAAAGGGATTTGACTTGGAATCACAGAATTGTTAAGGCTGGAAAAGCCCTCGGAGACCATCGAATCCAACTGGTCCCCCAGCACTGCCAAGGCCACCACTGACCCGTGTCCCCAGGTGCCACATCCGCAGGGCTTTTAAATCCTTCCAGGGATGGGGACTCCACTCCTGCCCTGGGCAGCCTGTTCCAATGCCTGACAATCCTCTGGGGCAAAAAATTCTCCCAGTATCCAACCTGACCCTTCCTTGGTGCAACTTGAGGCCGTTCCCTCTCCTCCTGTCCCTTGTTCCCTGGGAGCAGAGCCCGACCTCCCCCGGCTCCCCCCTCCTGTCAGGGAGTTGTAGAGAGTGAGAAGGTCCCCCCTGAGCCTCCTTTTCTCCAGGTTGAGACCCCCCAGCTCCCTCAGCCACTCCTGGTGCTCCAGACCCTTCCCAGTTCCCTTCCCTTCCCTGGACATGCTCCAGCACCTTCCTGCCCTCAAACATATTATAATATGATATATATAATCTAGCTATATATAGCTGGCCAAAGAGAAAAAGTGGGTTCCTCAGCAGGAGATGTAAAAGGACAGGTCTTGTTGTTTAGGATAAAGGCAAAAAAAATTGTGGAAAGGGGAGTAAAATCTCTTTTCTTCATGGGTTTGGACAGTGCCTGGGGCCGAAGGGTCTCCCATGGTATAAACAGTGACTCAAAGTAACTATCAACACTGAAATTCTGGAAAAGCATCATCCAGAACAGCTGAGCTGCTCCTGGGAATGAGAAGCAAAAGCACATCCAGACAAGGGACACTTCCCAAAGCAGGTCAGTGCACTCACATGTACCGGGGACCTCCATGCTCTCCTCTTCCTCAGAGCCCTCGTGGCTCTCAGCCAGAGTCTCCTCGTATTTACCCCACGAGCTCTCGTCGGGCCCAGGGAAGAAAAACTCTGCACGAGAGAAAACAACAGGAGTTACACTCCCACCTCCCAGCTGCTTCAGAGGATTCCGGCAGAGATGGATGCACCGGGTGGGGGACAACTGGGAAAGTCCCCCTGCACCCGGGGACAGAGAGGACAAAACCGCCCCACATCTGCTTCCACCTCCCCACCTGGAAGGACTTAAAACTCGCCCATGAATCGGATCTCAACCCCAGAGAGTCCCAGGGATCTCGTGGCTCACCGCTGCTGGGGTCTGTGGGGGTTTCCCCTGCCTCCGAGTCCTCCTGCTCCTCGGCGTTGGGATCCTCTCCCTGCTCAATCCGGGACAGCATGTCAGGCTTGGAAATGGCAGCGTCTGCACAGAAAGAGAGGATCAGGGTGTTTCCCCTGCCCTCGTGGGACAGGAACTCAGACCTTCGCCCACCAACCTTCCTTTGCTGGGGAACGGAAAGAGAGAGGCTTAGGAAGGTGCTCCCACCCGTGTGCACCTCTCACCTTGTGTGGGCCCTGGACTGAGCGATGCAGGAGCACACTCTGCTCAGGTGAGGAGCAACTCCCAGCCTGCAGTGTGAGGAGGAGAATAAGAAAATGCATCTGCACTCACCTCCAGGCTTCCTGTCTTCTCCTCCCTAAGATCCATTGCAATGGGGACTTCAGCTCGGGGACAGCACCAGAGCTGTCAGCAGTGCCCTCCCCGTGTGGTTCCCTCCAGCCAGGACTGCTCCTCCTACTCCTCCAAGCCACAGGCTGCCCATGGATTTTGGGAAAGGGGACAATCACCTTTTCCCCTCGAGCAGAGAGCGGAAAACTTCATTTCCAGACACGTGTGAGTCTCTGGGGATTAAATTCCACCCCTGCTCTGGTGGATCTGTTGGCCTTACACCAGAGCCAACCCCCTAGACCTTGTTTCTCAAAGGAAACCTTTGGACAAAGCACAGACACGTTTTTCTAAGCTCCAGGCTCAGGTGCCCAGATCCCCTTCATTGGGACCATTATGTTTCTGTGCCTCAGGAACAGGACACAGGATGGCTTTGTAAACAGGAGAATGGGGGGCAGTGTTTACACCTCACCTTCTTCCCTGGTGCACAGGGACTGCACAAGACCTCTGTTCAAAGAAATAAAGGAAGAAAGGAGGAGAAAATCCAGGACAAAAGGCCTGGATTGGGCAGAGCTGCATGGAGGGAGGTGGGTGAGCCTGCCCTTGGCACAGGGAAGTGCCTGAGTGCCAGGGACGGTGTCTGTGCTCCCACCCACTGTCCAGCCAAGGCAAGGTCATTTCTGAGAACATGTTGTGAAGGCAACATGTTCCCCAGAGGGAATTCCCGCAGCCAGGACTGGCAGGAGCGAGTGGAGTGCATTCCTTCAGCTGGGAATGCTGTGCCCTGAGCTGCTGAGGGGAAAGCAGAAAGCAGAGCTCAGCTTTGCCTGCAGCTTCTCCCCAGCTCTGCCCCAGCAGCAGATCGAGCAGGACTCACTCCCTGGGGCCAGACAGAGCACCCAGGCAGCGCTGACAAACCTCTTCCTCATGGAAGAGCCATGGAAAGGGCTGGAAGGACCCTCAGAGGCAGGGCACAGGGCACCCCTCTGCTGCCTGAAGGGGCCAGCAGGCTGATGCACCCAGAGCAGTGGATCTGTGGGCCTTGGCATGACAAAGGAACTCCTCTATTCCTCAGCTTTGCCTGGATTGAGGGTCCTCTCACTTCCCCACCTCCTCCTCCTCCTCCTCCTCACAACCCAGGTGCTCTCCTGGCCACGGGGGCCACCAGGGATGTCTGTCCACCCATCCCCTGAGCTGGTGAGGGCTGAGCTCATTGCCAGGGCTGTGTAACACCTTCCCAAACCAGTACACCATCCCCCTCCCCGCTCCTGCTGGACGCGGCGCTGCTTCCATCCATCCACCAGTTCCCGGGAAAAGCTGGTGCCCCAGGGGGCTCAGGGCAGACCCCAGCCCGTGGTTACCCATGGAGATGACGGCCTCGTAGTTGCCTTTCATGATGTGCCTGTACAGCTCCTTCTGCCACTCGTTCAGGCTCTTCCACTCCTCCTCCGAGAAGCTGAACGAAGCGTCGTTGAAGGCCACGGGGACCTGCACGGGGAAGCATCAGAGGGTTTGTTTCTTGTTTAAGGAAACACCTGGCGGTGTTTTCTCACTCAGTTCTCTCCTTTAAGCTCCTCAAGCGTCGCACAGGACAGTCCCAGGCGGGAGCACTGGGTCCTTCCCACGCGCCTCATCCCCCAAGGGACACGACAGGGACTTCCCCTGTCCCCTTCTGTCACCTCCCCCCTGCTCAGCCTCCTCGTGCCTTCACAGGCTCTTTTTCACCTCGTTTTCGACACAATTCGGCTGCTCATCACCCCTGGGCAGGCACCACTGGTGTTCCCAAACCCCCCAGGCACACGGGGCTGAGCCACACAATTCCACATGACCCAAGCACGGCTCCCCCTCCCCCAGGAGTCTGTGACCCCCCCAGCGCGATTTGGGAGGATCACACGTACATAATGAGGGGAACATAATTATATAATTAACACAACTCCGTAATTAACACAACCAGAGGTCTGTAATTAACACAATGGGACCTGTGCTGGTGCTTCTCTCCCAATGCCGAAGGGAAGGCCCTGCTGTGGGGGAACTGCTGCTCAGCACCGCAGCTGCCCCAAAATGGGACTGGAGAGCAGGGATACGGGGCTGAGAGCACTGGGTATGGGGGCTGGGAGTGCAGGGCACGAGGCTGGGAGTGCAGGATATGGGGCTGGGAGTGAAGGGATATGGGGCTGGGAGTGAAGGGATATGGGGCTGGGAGTGAAGGATATGGGGCTGGGAGTGCAGGATATGGGGCTGGGAGTGCAGGATATGGGGCTGGGAGTGCAGGATATGGGGCTGGGAGTGCAGGATATGGGGCTGGGAGT